GGTGCATAGCTAATCTCCATGCGGTGGCTCAAGTGGTTAAGACGCTGAACTGCAGGCTGTGGAAGGTCGGTAGTTCAGCAGTTCGAGACCCGAGTGTGCCGCATGACGGAGTGAGCTCCCATCTCTAGTTCCAGCTCTTCCACCAGGCTTTCAGCTAAGGAGCCACCTTCACCATTACCACCAACGAGCCCGGCCCTCAGCCTTAACATCTGGCTTATGCCATCGGGTGACTCAGGAAGACCACTGAGCTGAGAACTGTCCGCTTGCAAGAACGCCACCTCAAGTAACTGAATGATCACTAGGCACCTTATGACGTGAATTGTTTTAAATGATTTTATGTGGTTTTATTGGTATTTTATACCAACTGTGGAAGGAGCTGCGGTGGCTCAAGTGGTTAAGATACTGAACTGCAGGCTGTGGAAGGTCAGTAGTTCAGCAGTTCAAGACCCGAGTTGCTGCATGACAGAGTGAGCTCCCGTCTCTAGTTCCAGCTCCTGCCAACCTAGCCGTTCGAAAGCAAGAAATTGCAAGTAGATAAGTAGGTACCACTTCGGTGGGAAGGTAACAGCGTTCTGTGCGCCTCGGTGTTTAGTCATGCCGGCCACATGACCACGGAAACGTCTTCAGATAGCGCTGGCTCTTCGGCTTGGAAACGGAGATGAGCACCGCAACCCTAGAGTCGGACTCGACTGGCTTTCGAGCAAGGGAACCTTTACCTTTACCTTTTAATCTCCATGTGATTCTTATGAAGAATCCATCTGTTCAAAGCCAGGCAATTGTGGCTCCACACGCCAACCAAGAGACCGCGTTCCTCGCAGTTGTGTGGAAGTACTACCACAAGCTCCACTATTCAGTGCAACCTTACCCAGTCCTACCTCATGATGGGATATCGCACACTGTCCGGGTGGGCCGCTGAGTCTGTATGTTAGCAACCTCTTCTGTATTCTTTTTTTTATATATAAAGATTTTATTGGCTCCCCTAAAAAGGGGAGGTATTTCGCTTAAAAGAAAAAAGGGGAAGGGTAGACAGTGGGGGAAAGAGAAAGCTGAGTGATATATAAACTGGTAAATTAAACTGTTAGTAATGTCCAATTAATCTTCTTGGGCTTCTTCTGTGTGTTGTCAAACTTCTTTTCATAGTCCTGTCACATGTAGTTCTCTGTTAGTATGTTAGTAATGTTCCTTTGAATTTCTGTTAATAAAAAAAAAATCTCTTCTGTGCACATTCAGAACCGCTTCTTTGCGTGCTGGGTACTTTTACTATCGCTGACGTGGAGGAGCTTCCTCTGTTGTCTTCTCCTTCCGGCTTGTTAGATCCTCCTTCGGGTTGTTGTTAATACTCTCAGTTCATGCACTATAAAAAAAAGGATTCACAGCCATAAACAGTCCAAACATTCAACAGCCGGCTCTTGCACACAAGCAAACGCCCAGACGGAAGTCCCTCCCTTCTTCTCCGCTCGCTTTTGCCCAGCTCCGACATCTTTTCTTTTTTGTTTACTTTTAGAAAGTTCTTAAAATATGCTCCAGAGAGACAAAACTTTTTCCCGCTTTGTTTCAAATACATCAAAGGAAAACATCACTGTCCGCTCGATCCATTCCCCCCCTCCTTTTCTTTTTCGCTTATGCAAATGGAGGGTTAACCTCTTCGCCTTTTTCGCTGGGAGGGGGGGGGAAACGTTTTTAGTTCTTTTTCTCTGCATTTTGACAACTCACAGTTAAGCCGATCTTTTCTTTTTCTTTTCCACTTTTGCGGATGGTCGCTTTATCACTCGGTGACGTCTGGTGGCTCCACTAAACCCCGTTCGGGGTCGCTCACGCAGCAAGGTCCATTGGGGCAGGGCATGGTGGGAGCCTCGTTCTCCGACCTCTTGGCCGAAAGAGCGACTCCCCCCTAGTGCGCCCTAAAGCACCCCGGATCCGAGCTCCTCTCTCCTGAGGGGCTCGTTCGGGTCTCCGCTCGCGCGGATTCCCTCCTCCACCGCGGGCGGGCGAGGCGCCCTCGGGAGCGACCCGAGGAAGCGTCCGCCATGCGCGGGAGCCAGACCGGAAGCCAACCTCTTCTGTATTCTTGTTTTCATTGCTCGTGTGTCCCTATTGCTTCAGGGTTTTCCGCATGTGTTTCTCTCCCGCCGGTAGTCAGTTCAGTGTTACATGGCTTTACGTCAGGCATAAAAGGCTGCAGTTGACATCTGCAGGAAGATATGCGGGACATAAAACTATGTAATATCAGATTGACCACTAGAGGGAGCAAAAGACATGGAGAACGGGGGGGAATCCCCAAACCGATGGGAACACACAAGAGAGGACAATGGGGATGGGGAAGAGCCCTGAGAAGCCAAGACTGAGTTAGCGGCTTCACAGAGACAGCAGAGTTCTGTTGGCCTACCTGAGCAGAACCTCTCCCGGCTATAGGTAGTCCTGATGATGAAGTGCAGTTCTGGTCACCACACCTTAAAAAGGATATTATAGCTTTGGGAAAAGTGCAGAAAAGGGCAACTCGAAGGATAAAGGGGTTGGAACACTTTCCCTATGAGGAAAAGTTAAGGTGCTTGGGGCTCTTTAGCTTGGAGAAACGACGACTGAGGGGTGACATGATCGAGGTTTATAAGATTATGGATGGGAAAGAGCAGGTAGAGAAAGAGGTACTTTTCTCCCTTTCTCACAATACAAGAACTCGTGGGCACTCCATGAAATTGCTGAGCGGTCGGGTTAGAACGGATAGAAGGAAGTACTTCTTCACCCAAAGAGTGATTAACACTTGGAATTCACTGCCACAGGAGGTGGCGGCGGCTACAAGCACGGACGGCTTCAAGAGGGAATTAGATAAGCATATGGAGCAGAGGTCCATCAGTGGCTATTAGCCACAAGGTATAGATAGGGGCTCTGGGGCAAGTGATGCTCTGTCTTCTTGGTGCTTGGGGGGGTCAACAGTGGGAGGGCTTCTAATGTCCTGGCCCCACTGGTGGACCTCCTGATGGCACCTGGTATTTTTGGCCACTGTGTGACTCAGAGTGTTGGACTGGATGGGCCTTTGGCCTGATCCAATATTGGCATCTCTTATGTTCTTACATCTGCGATCAGGCCAATAGGCTCCTGACTCTAGGTAGGGAAATTCCTGGAGATTTGGGGTTACTGCTTGGGAAGAGGAGCGAGTTCAGTGGTATATAGGGCCTATACAGCTGATCTCCAGATTACAGAGGTCCGTTCCCCTGGAGAAAATGGCTGCTGTGGAGGGTGGACCCCACTGAAAAACTCTCCTCTCCCGAAACCCTGCCCTCCCCAGGTTCCACCCGCCATATCTCCAGGAATTTCCCAACCCAAAGTTGACAACCCTGCTGGCAGGCCTTGCAAGAACCCCAGGAGGAGATGTGTGGCCCGCTGGAAACTGGCGAGAAGTCCACTGGTGAAACAAAGCCCACCCCAGGCCCGTAACTATGGTGGGGCGTTTGGGGGCTCCGCCCCCTTTCTTAAAGGCAAAGCCCCGCAAGAATTTATTATGGAAATTGTTTTTTCAATCATTTTTACACATTCTTAAAAGGTGTGTGCTCCTTTAAGCAGAGTGGGGTGCTGTAGTTGACTAATTCCCACACTGAGCAAGGAGGTTGGAGTAGGTGGCCTCTAGGTCCCCTTCTAACTCTGTGTCAAGAAACTGGTCTCCTTTAAGATACTTTTTCTGCCAAAGTGTTAGCTTTCTTGAATATCGAAGTCATCACCCCCACCAGCTGGCTAGTTCTCAGAATTGCTGCTTAGGCTGGCAGAAGTGACCTCCTGATAACACCTGGTATTTTTGGCCACTGTGTGACAGAGTGTTGGACTTGATGGGCCTTGGGCCTGATCCAACATTGGCTTCTCTTCTGTTCTTAACTCGCAGCAGCTGAGAACTGTCATCTAAAGTGGTTGACGGCTTGCAATTTAGAGATCTCTCCTGGCAACAGCTTCCTCTTGACTAAATGGCTTTTCGTTCTGCACTGAGAACATCAGCCCCACCAAAAAATTTTTGCCCCACTAGCCACAAAATCCTGGCTGCGGGCCTGACGCACCATGTATCCAGGCCTGGCCAATCAGTCCTATGAGAGTAGTACATGGAACAAAAGGAGAAGGAGAAGAAGAAGAGGAGGAGGAGGAGATTGGATTTATACCCCGCCCTTCACTACCCAAAGGTGTCTCAGAGCGGCTTACAAACTCCTTTCCCTTCCCCTCCCCACAACAGACACCCTGTGAGGTGGGTGGGGCTGAGAGAGCTGTGATAGAAACTGCTCTTTCTCAAGAACAGCTCTTATCAGAACTACGGCTTGCCCAAGGTCATCCAGCAGCTGCAAGTGGAGGAGTGGGGAATCAAACCCGGTTCTCCCAGATTAGAGTCCGTGCATTTAACCACCACACCAAACTGGAAGGATGGAAGGAAAGATTTTCTTAGGAGGAGGAGAGGAGATTGGATTTATACCCCGCCCTTCATTACCCAAAGGAGTCTCAGAGCGGCTTACCTTCTCCTTCCCCTTCCCCTCCCCACAACAGACACCCTGTGAGGTAGGCGGGGCTGAGAGAGCTCTGACAGAAATTGCTCTTTTTCAAGAACAGCTCTTATCAGAGCTATGGCTTGCCCAAGGCCCTCCAGCCAGGTGCAAGTGGAGGAGTGGGGAATCAAGCCCGGTTCTCCCAGATTAGAGTCCGCACCCTTAACCACTACACCAGACTGGAGAAGAGGAGAATGGATTCATACCCCGCCCTTCACTACCTAAAGGAGTCTCAGAGCGGCTTACAATCTCCTTTCCCTTCCCCTCCCCACAACACACCCTGTGCTGTAGGTGGGGCTGAGAGAGCTCGTTCGAGAACTACCCTTGAGAGAACAGCTCTGAGAGAACTTGTGACTGACCCAAGGCCACACCAGCAGCTGCACGTGGAGGAGTGGGGAATCAAACCCGGTTCTCCCAGATGAGAGTCCGCTCCCCTAACCACGACACCAAACTGGCTCTCTCCGTCTGTGTGTTTCTCCACTGCAGGAAGTGATTGAGGAAGAGCCATCGGGGTCAGTGTGCTTCACGATCCTCCACCAAGCCATGACTACTGTCTGCTGCCTGACGTACGTACCGGAGCTTTGCTTCTCCTTAGCTCTCCTGGTCGGGCTTCTCGTCGGTTGCAGCGGGAGAAATGCCCGGTGCCCATGGCGAAGATAAGGTTCCTTTAAGAGGGAGGTGAAAGGAACAACCAAGCCGAGACTTGGGAAAGGGTGTGGTTATGGGGGCAGAAGAGCTTCAGGTAGCGGCCCCAGTTGCCCCCCTTGTGGCGGGAGACTCCCTGCAATTGCAGCCCTTATCCACCAGAGGGAGACGTGCCAGGTGCCCACTAAGCCTTGACGGGCGGAAACTGGGGCCAAGCCGTGAGGTGGGATCGACCTGGGGAGAAAAATGTTTAGGCACGTGCCAGGGCTTTGTTTGTAGAAAAAGCCCAGCAGGAACTCATTAGCATAATAGGACATACCCAACAGCAGGAACTCATTAGCATATTAGGCCACACCCCTGACAGCACAGCTCATTCCCATATTAGGCCACACCCCATATTACCAGGTGTGGTCATCCAGCCACACCCACCTTTTGCTTCTTATTCTCTTTACCTTGTTTGTTGTCAAAACCCAGGGCTTTTTGCATGTTAGGCCACACACCCCTAATTGTAGCCAATCCGAATGAGTTTCTGCTGTTGGGTGTGGCCTATTATGCTAATGAGTTCTTGCTGGGCGTGGCCAACTTGGGAGCCAGCCGGAACTCCGTTCCTGTGCGTTCCTGCCCCAAAATAGCCCTGGACACGTCTAATTCTTATTCCTTCCGGACTTTGTGGGGTTGCTAGGCAGTGCTTGGCGCTCAGCTGGAGGGCTGGGGGAGGGCGGGATCCCGGGAGAAAAATTGAAAAGAAGAATAAGGCCTCGGCTACTTCCTGCCAACCTAGCAGTTCGAAAGCAAGACATTGCAAGTCGATAAATAGGGACCACTTCAGTGGGAAGGTAACAGAGTTCCGTGCGCCTTGGTGTTTAGTCATGCCGGCCACATGACTATGGAAATGTCTTCGGACAGCGCTGGCTCTTCGGCTTTGAAATGGAGATGAGCGCCGCAACCCTAGAGTCAGATTCGACTGGCTTTCGAGCAAGGGAACCTTTACCTTTACCTTACTTCCCGGAAGGTCGGACCATAGAGTTCCTGGAGATTCCGAGAGCGACCTGAAAGGGACAATGGCAGCAATAGCAGGGTTACCGGCTCCAGGTTGGGAAATACCTGGAGATTTTGGGGGTGGAGTCTGAGGAAGGCGGGGTTTGGTGAGGGGAGGGACTTCTGTGGGCTGTAACGCCACAGAGTTCACCTTTCAAAGCAGCCATTTTTCTCCTGGAGACCTGATCTCTGTTGCCTGGAGATCAGTTGTGATCGCAGGAGATCTCCAGCCAGTGCCTAGCGATTGAAGTCCAATCAAAACATCCGTGGCAAAACGAAAGTGTTTACTGTAATAGTAGTGATTCTGTAGAAAAAATCCATATTGTGAAGGCCTTGGGTTCTGGTAGGAGATAGTCCACATGGGGTGTCCATCTGAAGAGCCGATCGTTGGAAGCTGGTAAGAATTGTAATTACTACACGCTCAGACAGAGCAATCTATGTGAAACGGGTATTTGTGATTGCGCCAAATCCGTTTCGTGTGAGCAGCAGTCATTTCCTGCGGGAGCGCACAGGAGCGGAGCTCCGGCAGTAAAGAGCCCAGGGGGTAGGCACATGCAACAAGCCCCACCCCCTGCTCCCAGCAGCCCTCAGTCAGAGCAAGAAGCAGCCAGGTAAGTTGCAGAGCTCCCCCCACCCAAAACAGTCCAGTGGCACCTTTAAGGCCAAGTTTTATTCAGGTACAAGTTCTCCCTCCTCTGCGAGGACAGATCTGCACATCCCCCCCCCTCCCAATAGCTAGCAATCCAAAACAGTCCAATGGAGCCTGAGCGGTGGGTGTTGCCTTCTGACACACTCCCGGTGATGGCAGGGGGTGTGGCATATGCAAATAAGTCATACAAATGAGTTATGCTAATGAGCTCCTGCACCTCTTTTTCTACGGAATGACCCCTGCCTGTGAGCAAAAATACAAGAGATTTCTCTAGAGAATGACTCCTATTACAGTAAACAGTTTCGTATATATATATTTTATTGACTGTCGTTTTTGTCATGGATGTTTTGATTGGAATTCCACCTCCTCCCATGATCTCTTGCCTTTGGCTAGTGCCTGGAGATTGGCAACCCTCAGCAATAGCCAGAAACTCTATGGTAAGATCTGAAAAATACTGGGTTTGCCGCATGGAGGACTTGGACAACGACATGCGCTTGCACACGTTTATTGTACTTCACACTGGAACTAACAAACGGCCCTGCGAGGCCAACTATATACACACCCACCCAGCACACACCCAGTCCCGTTGGAGTGTTTGAATTTCCCGCCAGAGTGGCTATTGGTGAATGCTTGGGGGAACTAGGATCCTAGGCTTCTATTGTCTCAAGGAGCCAAGCTCCTGACTGTAGCTGCGGGCCTCTGGTGGCGGCCCGCGTACATCACAAGATCAGCTGTGCATCGATGGGCAATGGCTGTGATTGGGTGGAGGTTTCCCACCATAAGTGGGCGCATGGGAACTCTCAGATTTGCCTTCCGCACTTCTGTCCGGTAATAAATCATGTATAGCTGATTTTTTTTGTTGAATCGGCGGGGGGAGGGGGAGGGGTGTGACGCTTATGGGGAGTCTTAATCAATGTTCCCTCTAAGCTGTGGAGTCTTGTGAGCAAAAATCCTGCTTTGTGAGCTACTGGGATTAAAGTTGTGAGCCAGTGATTTGGCTACTGCATAAATTAGTTTGTTCTGGAGCCATCCTTCCTGAGCTAGGACAAAAATGGGTGAGCTGGAGGCTGAAAAACTGTGAGCTAGCTCACACTAACTCAGCTTAGAGGGAACACTGGTCTTAATATCCCCCCCCAAAAAAACACTGTGTGGTTTATTTTCAGTCTCCTGAAGCCCCCCCTGGACTACGACGTGAAGTCCGACCTGGTGCGCAAGAGCGTCAAGAAGGTGTTCTCTCTGCCCGCTCTGAAGATGACCAAGCTGAAAGCCGGCAGCCCCACCCACCCGACGCAGACGCAGGTGCCTCCCCCTCCCTCTCCGGGGGTCCAGAAAGAAAAGCGGGGGGGCTTGTATGTCTGCAAGGGTCTACTGGCCAGGAACGGAGTCCAGATTCAGAGACTGGGGTGTGGGTGGGTGGGGTGTGTGCTGGGACTAAACTTCTGGAGGCACGATTAGTGCGATTTGACACAAAGGACCGGCCGATTCATGTCTATAGCTTCAGAGCATGGGTCTCTCCTCAGCGTGGTGCTTGCGGGCCCCGTGATGCCTGACACCCCCCCTTCCTGATGCCCACCACATGCTTTTAGAAAGTGGGCTTCTGATTGTCCATTCTGATCGGCCGTTGGAAATTTGACTGGTTGTACAGATTTTTTTTTTAAAAGTTGTTTCAGCAGCAGCGGCCACCACAGCACAATACGTTCATTTCAAAAGGCGGAGCCAGTTTGGTGTAGCGGTTAGGAGCGTGAACTCTGATCTGGGGGAACCGGGTTTGATTCCCCACTCCTCCACATGCAGCTGCTGGATGCCCTTGGGCAAGCCGTAGTTCTGATAACAGCTGTCCTTGAAAAAGAGCAGTTTCTGTCAGAGCTCTCTCAGCCCCACCTACCTCACAGGGTGTGTGTTGTGGGGAGGGGAAGGGAAAGGAGTTTGTAAGCCACTCTGAGACTCCAAGTGAAGGGCGGGGTATAAATCCAATCTCCTTCTCCTCCTCCTCCTCCTCTTCTTCTTCTTCTTTCCTTACCTGCTGGCACAACTTCCAAAGTGGGACTTGTGGGGCACAGGCCATGCGTGAGGGGGCACCGCCCCTAAGTGCCCCACTGTGGCTATGGGCCTGTCCAGCAGTCTGTTCCCATCCACACCTTTGCTCACGCTAACTGTATCCTCTCCTCTCCTTTTAGGACTTCTACCTGCAGACTATCAACGCCTGCAACAACATGCTCACCAGCTTGCTGTCCGAGACCCCCAATATGGAGGGGCTACAAGAAATATTGATAGTAAGGAAGCCGTAGGCGTGTAGGATGCTGCTAGGGTTGCCAGTGCTGGGTTGATTTATTTAATTTTATTTCCAGCCCTCCCTCCCCGCACAGCAGGCGACAGGGCAGGTTACAACTTTCTTAAAACATACCTGGGGAATACCTGAAGATTCTGGGGTTTGAGCTTGAAGAGGGCAGAGTTTGGGGAGGAGAGGAACTCCAATGGGGTAAATGCCATAGATCCCACCTTCCAATGGGGCTGTTTTCCCGAGGTGAGGTGATCTCTGGTGTCCGGAGATCACTAGCAATTCCAGATCTCCAGGCCCCAGCTGGAGGTTAATACAAAAACTGGGGGGCACAGTGTTAGGAAGACATACAAAAATATATATCACTGTGTACAGTAAATATGGAGCTGCGGTGGCTCAAGTGGTTAAGACACTGAACTGCAGGCTGTGGAAGGTTGTGAGTTCCGGAGTTCAAGCCCCGAGTGTGCCGCATGACGGAGTGAGCTCCCGTCTCTGGCCCCAGCTCCTGCCAACCTAGCATTTCGAAAGCAAGAAATTGCAAGTAGATAAATAGGTACCGCTTCGGTGGGAAGGTAACAGCGTTCCGTGTGCCTTGGCGTCCAGTCATGCCGGCCACATGACCACGGAAACGTCTTCGGACAGCGCTGGCTCTTCGGCTTGGAAACGGAGATGAGCACTGCACCCCTAGAGTCGGATTTGACTGGCTTTCGAGCAAGGGAACCTGTACCTTACAGTAAACATATGTTTATGGTAGAACAATTTTATGCTTTATTCTTTTTCCTTTTTATATTTTTCAATACTGTTATCTAAATATTGGCATCAAATATTATCAAAAATATATTTCACCCAAAACAACACATAGAGAAAAGTATTTTTCACCCAAATAATAGCATCATGTGCAGGCTCAGGGCGGCTTACAATAGTTAAAAACCCATATACAGTTAATACAATAATAATATCTAAAACAATACAATATGATATCATAAGAGAGCCAGTTTGGTGTAGTGGTTAGGTGCGCGGACTCCAATCTGGGAGAACCGGGTTTGATTCCCCACTCCTCCACGTGCACCTGCTGGTGTGACCCCGAGCTCTGAGGGATCTTCAACAATTTCGTAGAACGGTAAAGACCGAGCCGTTCCGACAAGCGTTTTAATAGTTCTGGCCAGGGCTCTACTGGTAGCAGGAGCTCCTTTGCTTATTAGGCCACACACTCCTAGTGTAGCCAATCCTCCAAGAGCTTACAGAGCTCTTCTTACTGGGGCTACTGTAAGCTCTTGGAGGATTGGCTACACTAGGAGTGTGTGGCCTAATAAGCAAAGGAGCTCCTGCTACCAGTAGAGCCCTGGCCAGAACTATTAAAACGCTTGTCGGAACGGCTCGGTCTTTACCGTTCTACGAAATTGTTGAAGATCCCTCAGAGCTCGGATTTTGATTGGGAGCTGGTTCCATCGCCTCGGTGCAGCTAGGGAGAACGCCCTAGTTTTTGTTGCTGTTAGCTTAGCATCCCTAAGGCCAGGGAGGACCAAGCGATTTTGGTGTCTCGGATCTCAGTGCTCTCGGGGGAACATACGGTTTACATTTAGACAGCACCTTTTCAGTATCGCTATCACTAGTCCCACGGGACTCTAGTAATTTACCCGTTTCGCATGAATCTTTTTCAAGGGCCATGACGTTTCTAGAAAGGACATGAGGCGCAATGATTTTTCTTTGTGAGCACAAAAGCTCTTAAGATAGCCGCATTTTGCACTAGCTGCAGCTTCCGAATTTGAGACAAGGGCAGCCCCATGTAGAGAGCATTGCAGTAGCCTAATCTCGAGGTGACCATAGCATGAATCACTGTTGCCAGGAAGGGAACCAGCTGCCTAATCCCGTCAGAACCCTTGCGGCAAACATAATAACCTAAGACAGCATATCTCTCAAATTCTATCAGGTTGTTGTTGTTGTTCAGTCGCACAGTC